GCCCGTTGGTGCTCTCTTTTGCACGACACGCACCGCTGCCGTCCTGCCTGGCTGCATGGGCGGAGCACCGTAACTGTTTCTGTTTTGTTTTTATTGCATTGAGTGGGCGACCTCTCTCTCTCTCCCTCTGTGTGTGTGTTTTGCTTTACGGGAGTAATGAGAGTGTGTGTGCGCTGGTCGTCCCACGCTTCGGCTTTTTGTTTTGTTTTTCGTTGTTTTGTGGTTGAGTGCACCCATTCCGTGGCTGCGTGCGTGTGTGTGTGTGTGATGATATGAGTAATTTGCGTGTGTGCTATCTGCCTCTCTCTGCCGTTGCTTTCTTCAGACTCTCTTGTGGCGCACAGCTGCTCTGCAAGTATAGACGCTGCCAAACACACAAGCACATGCACACACACACACATGTCATGTCGAAGACGCTGTGGGCTGCCCCTGCACTGCTAGAGGAGCTCTCGGCGCGCTTTGGAATGTTGCATCTGGCACCATTGGATTTGGTGCGTTGGCGCCTGTGGCTGCCTTTGTCGACGCTCCGATCTGCTCTGTTGGAAGTGCCGGCGTGGTCGTGGGGCGGCGGGAGAGCAGCTGCGGACACGGTGACCTCTACGCAGTGAGTTCACAGTAACTTCCTTGGCCAGTGGCAGTGCGGATGGAACTGTCATAATGATTGCACCGCCGGCATGCTTGTTGTCGAGTTCCCCGAAAGGAGAGCAGTGAAAGGAGGTCCGTCCGCATGCGCCTTTGCATCTCCGCCTCAGGGCTGCGCATCACAATTGGAGTTGCCGTGCGGTTATACAACAGGGTATGATCTGCTGGGGGAGCGCGCTGTGCGATGCTCCTGCACGTGGGACGGGTGCTGTGCCGTTGGCGGATGTTGAGTGGTCGATCACACAAATATTGCGACACCACAAGGAGAGCAGACCAAACACTCCGCGTGCAGGGAGCGTTGCGGCTGGTGAGGACTCTGTGCGACGGTGATGGACATTTTCTCGACGACGGATTGACGGATTGTCCATTTGATGGAGTCGCTGCACACGCTGTTTGTATGGCCGCCTCTGTGGTCTCCTGTTACTCTGCTGCGTGGGCCGCATCCTGACGCATTACTGGTCCAAAGCCATTTTATTTTTCTTTACTCTTCTTTTTCCTTTGTTTCTATCCTCCCGCATCCAGGCTGCACTACTGCTGCTACTCACACGAAACAAAGAAATGCAATTTACTCAGGTCATGCGCCAGCAACGGCACGACACGCCGCTTTCCCCACTGACGGTGTTGCTGCTGATGTGCTGCGCCAGTGGGTGTATTGCTGCTGCACCCGCCACACAGTACTGCTGTGGGTTTGACGTGAAGAGGAGGAGGAACGGCCCGCTGCCGACTGCGGTGGTGCGTGAGGTGCCGCGCAAGGGACAGGGCGCGATGCAGGCGTACACCGTCGCCACACAGGATGACGACAGTGGCTGGAGGCCGATCCGCATGGCGTTTTACACGGAGGATCTGGAGAGAGGCACGAACAAGAGGAAGAAGTACTGCGAAGAGGGAGAGGATGAGTGCCACAACGCCTTGGGGCAAAAGGTATCATGCAAAGCAGAGCATTTCTTGACGAAAGAAAATAAACAATTGCACAATCAAAAGATTCTCCCCGGTGCCGTCAAACTGCACGCTGAGCGGCTACTTGTGAAGCCCACTGGTGGGACGATAACTGTACCGAGGGCCATGAATGGATCGTGCAGCCACTTTTACGGTTCCTACCAGGCACAAGAGTGACGGTGTGCCGAATGCAGATTTTATCATCTACGCCGCTGCTATGCCATCAGGCACGAATGGCAGGGCTGTTTGGGCGGCCACGTGTAACACAATGAGTGATTTTCGCCCCTACATTGGCGCCATGAACTTTGATCCGAAGTACATGACTGACGCGGCGTGGAGCGTTCGCGTTGCCGCACACGAAATTGCGCACGCTCTTGGGTTCAGCCAGGAGAGTATGGAAGAAAAGAGCCTGTTGAACTCTGAATACAGTGTGCGTGGGATGAAGCGTTGGATGGTGGCAGGGAAGCACATTCAGGAGAAGGCGGAAGCGCACTTTGGTTGTGACTCTCGAGGGCATGGAGCTGGAGGACGAAGATGGTGCATCGGCAAGAAATATCCCTCACTGGAAGGAACGCCACGCGCGGGACGAGCTGATGGCTCCCACAGTCGGTGCCGGCTACTACACGGCTCTGACGATGGCGGTGTTCGCGGATATGGGGTACTGCCGCGTGAATTGGAGGATGGCGGAGCCGATGAGCTGGGGCCACCGCAGTGGCTGCGACTTCCTGGAGAAGAAGTGCAGTGAAATAACAGATTTCCCCACCAAGTATCCTCACATGTTCTGCGATGCTACCGACACAGAGAAACTTCGCTGCACCTCCGACCGCCGTCACGTCGGGACGTGCACCGCAAGCATCGTTGAGGACAAGGGGAGTCTGGTGGATAAGGACGTTTGCCCTGTTGTTTCTTCGTACTTTCACGAAATATCGTCCGGGACAACGTACAATGCGTGCTCGGACGAAAATGTGGATTATCTCCGTGGGTCGCTGACTGGCGGTGGCTCGTGGTGCCTGGACGCGGAATTACTGGAGACGAAGGACGGTGATGGCCATAAAAGCGTCAAGGGAGTGTGCGCGCAGGCGCTGTGTGAGGAGGACACAGTGAAGGTGAAGTACAGTGGCAGCAAGGATTTTCAGCCTTGCACTGAGGACACTGACATCCCAGTGGCGTTGAAATATTTTCAGAAAGGTGGGAAGATCAAGTGCCCCACGTACGGCGAGGTGTGCACCATTGCCGCGAACGGCAGCAGTCTTGTCATCCCGAGTGCGTTGGTGGGTGGACAGGGTGACGAGGAAGAGGAGGAAGCAGAAGAGTCTGCGGTTGCTTCAGGGTCGCCCTCTCCGGAGGATACTCGTCCACAGTTGTCTCCTGTGGCGTCTGGTTCCTCCATTGAGGAGGAGCCTCCCGGTGCTTCGGCTGCGGGTGTCGCTGGTGGTGGCCTTCATGCCGGTCCGAGGGGTGATCCGGGGGTGCGAGCCGAAAGTGAGGACAACACTCAGCGGCGAGGGAGGAGACCTGGCAGTGGAAGCGAGGGAGCCAACAGAGCCTCCGACCGACGCTTTTTTTTTGCGCCATCGCCCGGCAAGGACGTTGCTCGAGCGGAGGGCGACCCGCGGGCGGATTGCCCAGCGGTGGTTCCCAGTGCCTCCGCGCCTGCCACTCCGATTCCGTGCGTCAACAGCGACGATTTTCAGGCGATACCCGATGCGTTGGTACAGCAGGCCGACAGTGATTGTTGTGTAGCTGCTGCTACTGCTGGCCTCGTTCCCTTTGTGCTTCGTGTTGTGGTTGCTGCGGCGGTAGTGGTGGTGCCTCTTTGAGCAGCCGCGGCGGCTGGGCGCAATGAAACTGCGGCAGGGCGACAGTATTTACTTGGCACATTGACCCCGCACTCAAGATGTGCAAAACCGTGGCAATAATAATATAATACACTCACTGCATTCCCCATGTCATTCATTGCTTGCGGGTGATGGGCAAAATGACAGGTCTTTTATTGCATTGTTTGTTATTCTGGGAAAAGGTGTTTTTTTTTAGAGGATTTAACTTCCGTGAAAACTGTGTGTGAACGAAGTAACATGGAGAGAAAAGACATTTCCCAGCACCACATGTATACACGCATTTTTTGGTGCGATTGGGACGAGGGGAAATCACCGTACTCTAATCATGAGTAAAAAGTAAAGGAAATGTGCTCCAATGGAGGCGAGGGCGTGCAAGCAGCTGTTTCTCTGAAGGACAGGGACGACTGCCTCTGCCTCCGTAATTGGTGCATGCGGCTTTATCTTTTACGCTTTTGCCTGGTTTTGTGAATTTGCTTCTTTTTTGTGTGTGTCATTGCGAGAATGTGGACCTCAAATAATTTCTGTGCTTCGGCTTTCAATCTGTATGCGTCCTTTTTATTTTTTTGCTTTACCGGCTTTTTGCATCCGTTTTTGATTTGCTGTGTGTGTTTCGGGTGCTCTGCTGCACTGTGGGTAGTGTGTCTTAATTCCCTCTGTCCCTGCTGTTCTGATTGTGAAAAGACGCTGTGGGTCAGGGTGCATGGCTCCGTGGTTGCGGCACTATTTGTTGTGGTTGCATTGAGGCAGCCCCGACAAGACTGCCAACGTGTGGCTCTTGGGTGTCTCGCTGGGCTCTTTTCCGTCTCCTACGCGATGGACTCCCGTCGCCGGCGCATATTTTCGTGCAGTGGCGTCAGCGCAACAAGGTGGCAGTTTTGTTGTTGTTGCTGCTTCAGCTGTTTTGTGTTTCCCTCTGGTATTGTGAGGTGCGGGTGTCGGATGTGGCAGCAATGAGCCGAAGATAAGGAATGAGGAGGATGGTGCGTGCGTGCGCGAAGACCCTGCGGTGTTGGAGCGGTGCGCACTGTTTGTGGGCTTGATGCGCCCCTTTGGTGCATGGCGTGTCTTGGTGTGTCCTTCTTGCCGTGTGTGGTGCCAACCGGCTCTTCACGATTGTGGCAATGGCGTGTTGACAGCGGTGTTTGGGTTGGCGCTGGCTGTTCCACCCTCTGAGGCTACGAGGACGTATGTTTCACGATGAGCGACAACAACCGCGCACGACGCCTGGTCCGCAGACAAGTGACGCACCGACTGCCGACGCGGCGCGGCCCTCTTGCCTTTTTCGACCCTCTGGTGTGTAGCCGTAGTGGTCTCCTCTTTTCTCGCTCCTTTTGTGTGACCGCATGTACTGACCATAACAATTGTACAACACAAGTATTACTGAGTGCAGGGCTGTGTGTCTGCCGCCGTGGATTGGAGTGTGTGTCGTGCGTGGTGTGCGGCGTACGGTGCATGCCTGGCTGCTGCCCTCTCCTCATGTGGTGTGCCCTCTGTGTGTGTCTGCCGCACCTCTCTTCTCCCTGTTGCTCTCCATGTCCCTCACTGTGCAGATCAGCTCCACACCACTGAACGACTACACTCACGATGATGATGACGTGCCGTCTGCTGTGCGCCCTGTTGGTGCTTGCCCTGTGCTGCTGCTGCCCGTCCATGTACGCGTCGGAGATTCCGAAGAAGCCTAACGTTGATTTAGACGGCTCCCATTCATCGCCTTCTGGAACGGGAGTGCAAAAGGCACTACAGGCGACCAGTCAATCAGGACCACAAGTTCTAATGTCTGTTCCAGACCAGGATAAAGTTGACGGTGAAAAACGAGTTTTGACAGATCGGGATCCTCAAGCAGGTGACGCTCACAATCCGGTAAACGGGGAAGTTGCGGACGGTGATACAGGACTACAAATTCTCAGCGATGTTTCCGCAGAACAAACACATGAAGAACCCGAAAGTCGTGCAAAGAAGACCACAACGGCCACTAAAACAAAGTCACCGGAGGATGACAAGAAGTCTAAGCCTGAAGCCAATCCAAATGCCACCAGTCCAATTCCCTCTGCACCAGTGACTAAGCCTTCTGACGCTTCTGCCGAGAAGAACACTACGACAACCACGACGACCACCACTACAACAGAGGCACCAAGTACTACGACTACAGAGGCGCCAACCACGACGACAACCCGCGCACCGTCACGTCTTCGCGAAATGGACGGCAGCCTCAGCAGCTCTGCGTGGGTGTGTGCCCCGCTGGTGCTTGCCGCATCCGCGCTGGCGTACACCACTGTGGGCTGAAGAGGTGTGTGCGGGCTGTGCGTGCCAGCACTCAACCGCGGGGATTTGTGCGTGTGTGTTGTGGTTCACTGTATAAAATAAGATAAAATAATGATCGTGTTTTGCTTCACTTGCTTCTGCTGCCGTGCTGTGTGCTCCGCGTTGTGCCCCGTATCCGCCACGTTGAACGCATCGCGGACACACTCACAAGCATGCGCACTGGATCCCTGGGTTTGTTTTTCTTTTTTAATTCTTGCTTTTTAATTATTGTTTTTTAATTATTGTTTTTTATTGCTTTTTAAACTTGTGGTTTGCGGTGCGGTGTGCGAGCTCTGCAATCGTACTGATTCCATGTGTCTCGTGGTGTGTGCGCTGCTGCTGCTGGGGTGCTGCTGCTGCTGTGCGGTGGTGTAGCGGCGGTGTCTCCTTTTGGTTTTCTCGTGCTATCGCAGGTTGGCTCCGCAGCGTTAGGCGACTCCACTGTTTGTGATGATGACTGGCCGTGTGCTCTGCGTCCTGTTGGCCCCTGCAGTGATGCGCAGCTGCTCGTGCGTGTGAGTGAGGGCTGCTGCGACGGGGTGCGTGTGTTGCCCGCGGGTGATGGCGCGGTGACTGCTGGGCACGCGCGGGGTGTGATGGCTGCGGAAGGTGGACCCGTGGCCGGCGGCTCTGGACGAAAGGGGAATGTGAACTCTGAGGACAATAGCAATCAGGAAGACGAGGAGGGTGGAGGAAACACCGTGGGTGAGGACCCCAATCCCACCTCGGGAGGAGCACTCACTGCACCGACGAGGCAGGACCAATCCAGCAGCGACCCACTGCGAAGTGGCACTTGCAATCCGTCCGGCACTGGCAGCGCGTCTGCTGCTCGGATGCGTGCAAGTGGACCGGAGTCTTTGGGCGGAGGGCACGCTGCAGGCACAACATCCCCACGCTCCGACGCGTCTCAGCAGGCAGCGGGTGGAGTGCATGCTGGTGGCGGGAGGACCTCCCAGGGCAATCGGGCTTCGGAACAAACCGTCACGGGACAGTCACAGGTGCCAGGGACGGCGAAGGAAGCACCGCAGGGCGATGAAGGAGGAGAACCCGGAGCACAACACGAGGCCGACCAAACCACAGAAATGACTGTGGTGACCGCTTGCGCAAAAACAGCGGTGGAAGAGGAGAGCCGCCAGCGGGATCGCAAGATGCACCACGTCTCTACAGTGGCGGGAATGC